ACACGGGCAGAGCTGCGGGCACTGGTGCGGGGCAGCCCTGTGCATAGGGCTCGCGGCCCTGCTGCTCTCCTCACTCCGGCACCGTCTGCCTGGAGGCCACATCTGCATCTCAGCCTTCCCAAGTAGGGCCGGGAGCAATTGGAGAGAATCCAGAGCAGCAGAGAGAATTATCTGCAGCTTAGGAAAGCGTAACCTGAGTAGAGATTGGAGGACCCGGGCTTGTTTAGTCTAGACTGCAGTGGAGCAAGGTCTGTAAAGCTCTGCTCAGCACGTCTGGCAACAGGAGGGGAATAAATCTGGCTCTGTGTCCCACAGCAGCGTGGGTGAAAGGGGCTGCAGCAGGAGTGTCCGGCGCGACCGGCCCGTGATGGGGCCGCCTGGCTGTGTCCAGCCCTCCCTGCGCAGCCGGCACCATGTCCTGCCGCCTGGGGCAGCAGGAGGGCGGCGTGCGGGTGCCCTGTGCGTCTGCTGCGGCACCTAGGCACGCGGGAGGGATCCGCAGGGCCGGGAACACGGGGTCTCCACACGGCCCGCCCGGCCACGACGTCGCGCGGGGGCCGCCCCTGCCTCCCGCCTCCTCACGCCATTCCGCCTGCCACCCCGCAGCATCCTGGCTGAGCTGAAGCTGCGTGACCCCGGCTTCCCTGACGTGTCCCACGGGGTGCTGATCCACAAGGTGATCGTCGGCTCCCCAGCCCACCAGTAAGTGCCGCCGTGTGCGCGCTCGGGCGCCGCCTGCGCGGAGCTGCCCCACTGTGTGCGGAGCTGCCAGGGCCCCGCACCGCCTCCGCGCAGCCCCGTGTGACCCTCTGCGCAGGGCGGGCCTGAAGGCAGGGGACATCGTGCTGGAGATCAACGGGCAGGCGTCGCGGCGCGCCGAGGACGTGTACGAGGCCGTGCGCACGCAGCAGAACCTGGCCCTGCTGGTGCGGCGCGGCGGCGACGCGCTGCTCCTCAGCGTCGCCCCCGAGGTGGCCGAGTAGGGACGGGATGCGGGACAGCGGCAGCCGTGGGACACTCCCCAGAGACTGAGAGCGGCATCTGGAGCGGGTGGGGGGGCCGCCCTGGCGCTCGCGGGGCCTCGCGGCCCTTCTCCCCTTGCAATAAAGCACTTTTATAGGAGCCACTCAGTGCACGGGGCCAGGGCAGCCCTCCTTCTGTCCCCAGCACTGCCCTGTGTGGGGACACCTGCTGTCACCTGTGCTGAGGGAACGCGGATGTCCTGCCTCCCCCCACACCGTGAGGGTGCTCCACAGACCCCACTGCGCTGGGCACTGCTCCCTGGAGCCCAGCCCCAGGCCCCCCTGGGTGCTGCGGGTCCCGCTGCCCCTGTCGTTGCTGTCCCAACCAGCCCTGCCGGGTGCGGCGCCTCCCGTGGTGCCTCCATCGCGGTCGCCCTCGCGCTCCCGTCGGGCAGGGGCAGCCCTGCGTGCTCTGCTGCTCCTGGAGCAGCCGCTGCTGCTGGGGCTGCGGGAGGCGCCGCGGGGGCAGCTGCCCCAGGGCCTGTGCCCACCCCACGGGGCTGTGTATGCCGGCTGGGCGTCCCGCGGGGCCGGGCGCTTGGGCCCAGCCTCCCCGCTGGAATTCGCTCCTGCGCTCCCGGGAAGCGGCAGGGCTGCGGGCGGCACTGCTCGCGTGGCTGCAGGGCCGGGCAGCGCGGCCTCCGTGGACAGGACCCCACGGGAGCAGAGGCCGAGCCCCGTGCAGGAGCAGGGGCTGGACTGCGTCCGGGAGCCGGGCCCGGGTCCTGCACGGGAACAACAGCTGGGCCCACATGGGAGCAGTGGCCGTCCTGCAGGACGCGCTGCACCTGCTCCCGGCTGTGCTCCTGGACGAGGCCGTGGAGCTCCCAGTGCCGGGCTGTCCCTGTGGGTGCTCCCGGTGCCGGGCTGTCCCTGTGGGTGCTCCCGGTGCCGGGCTGTCCCTGTGCGTGCTCCCAGTGCCAGGCTGTCCCCATCGGTGCTCCCAGCCTCGGGCTGTCCCCCTTGGTGCTCCCATTGCTGGGCCGTCCCCTGTGAGCATGGAGCCGCGCCGTCTCCCTGTGCGCCGCTCTGCTGGGCCCGGCTGTCCCTGCGCCCACCCGGGACTCGCAGCCCCTGGGGCTGTGGCAGGTCTGGCCCGGGGCTCCCTGCAGCGGCACCATGGTGGCTCCTGCCCTGCCGGGCACGGGCCAGGGTGGGCTGCACAGGACCCCCACCCCTGGAGAGCAGCCAGCGATGTGGGAAATAAACGGACAATTTATACATAGAGAAAATAAAATTACAGCTAAGGAGCGGGCGCGGGAGTCCCTGCCCGGTGCAGGGGCCAGGATGGCCGGTGTGGGGGCTCCCCGGCTCAGGGGTCCCAGCCCTGCGGGGCAGAGGCCCCAGGCCGGCCCCGTTTGACTCCGCACAGTGGTTGGGGACGCGCGGGGGCAGCTCCGCTCGCACGGGGCACCGCCCCCCCCGATCCCTGGCCGAGCAGCGGGCGCTGTCTCCTGGGCGGGCGCTACGAGATCTGGTTGTTGAGCTGCCCCGGGTACTGCTCGAAGCGCCTGCTGGCCTCCTCGCTGAGCGCGTCCCCTGCGGCGGCACCGAGGGCGGCTGGGCCAAGGGCACTGGCAGCACCGCCTGCGCCTGGGGCGGCCCCACGGCTGGGACAGCCCCACGGCCAGTGCAGCCCTGTGACCATCCCACCAGCAGCCCCCCCATCCCGGTCACGGCCGCCCCATCCCTGCTGCGTCCCGCAGCCCCATGGCTCCCGCCTCCCCCCCGGGGACGCCCCCGCCGCCCTCCCCCGGCCCCCGCGCGGTGCCCAGGCCGTTACCGATGTGGCAGCTGTGCACCCAGATGCGGTGCCCGTCGTACTTGCAGTTGCATTTCATGGCGTTGTTGGTGAAGTCGCTCTCCGCCACCTCAAAGTTGGGGTTGATCACGACCTGGGGGTGCAGCCATGCTTGGGGTGCAGCCCGGCCCATATGGGGCGGCCCCAGCCCTGGGCTGTTGCCCCATGGCACCCGTGGGGCTGCGCGGGCCCGCGCGGCACCTGCAAGATGTAGTTGCCCGGCTTGACGTCGGTGATGTCGATCCACTGGCAGTCGATGTCGTGCCGGTAGAGGTCCCAGCAGCCCACCGTGATGCCCTGCTCGCCAAAGTTGGCGCACTCGTAGCGCTTGGCCACGTCTGCGGCGGGAGGGCGGCTGAGCGCGGTGCAGCGCGTGGCACATGGGGCGCATGCGGCACACGGGGTGCACGCGGCGCCCGGCGCCCAGCCCCGCGGCGCCCACCTTGCTCGCACTCGGTGTCCTCCAGGCAGAAGCTGGCCTTGTGGCCCTCGGCCACCCTGGTGCCGTTGGGGGTCAGGATGTCGTAGTGCGTGAACACGTCCATGCTGTGGTAGTGCCTGTGCACAGAGACGCCCGCAGGGCGCTCCTGTCCCCAGCCCGTGCAGCCGGGGACGGGCAGCAGCACCGGGACGGGCAGGAGGACAGTCTGGACCCCCGGGCAGGATGGGATGGGGCAGCTCAGCCCACCAGCTCAGCTGTCACCCCCATCCTAGTGGCATCATCCTCACCTTCACCACCAGCCCCTCCACCCACATCACCCTCATCACCCTCGCCTTCATCACCCCCCTTCATCCTCCTCGCCAGCCTCATCGTCGTCAGCACCACCCTCATCACCATCGCCCGCGTATCCCATGGCCGGCAGCCCGTGCCCCGCACGCACCGGTGGCACTCGTGCCAGACCCACGAGTGGCGCCCGGCCTTGGGGCGGAAGTCAGCGCGGCCGTTGTTGTGGATCTGGGAGGAGAAGCGGAGCAGACGCCGGTGCCCGTAGGGCCAGTTGGCGTGGCGGGCCGAGCTGGAGAGGCAGTTCTCCTCGGCGGCGCAGTACAGCATGTGCAGCGGCCGGTCCTCGATGTAGGCCGTCTCCTGCACCAGCGGCGCGTGCAGGAGCAGGTCGGAGGCGGCTGGGGACGCAGCGCTGCTCAGGGCCTGGCGCGCGGCCGGCGTGGGAGGCAGCACCGCGGCAGCAGTGCTGCCTGGCGGCACCCGTGACGCTGCGGCCATGCGGCCAGGCGCCTGCACACAACGCCCATTGCAACCCCCTGCCTGCAATGCAGCCCCTCCTGCAGCCCTCTTGCAGCCCCCCCACCGCCTGCGCCCCCCCGCTGCAGCCCCCTTGCAGCCCCGGCGCTACGCGCGGGCCCCGCTCACTCTCGGAGCAGATGACGCCGGCGGCGAAGCGGGTGCCCGTGTTCTTGCAGCTCAGGCTGGCGCCGTGGTGCTGGCAGTGGCCCAGGGACATCTCGTGGCCCTCACACTTGACGCCGCTCAGCACCATCTCCGTCACATTGCTGGCGTCCCAGTACCAGGTCTCCTAGGGATGGGGCGGGTTGAGGCGTCGGCGCCACCCTGCCCGTGTGCCCCGTCCCGCAGCCCCACGGCACCTACCGTCACGGCGTGCAGCGAGTAGCCCAGCCCCAGCTGGCGACAGGCCACCATGGCCTCCTTGGTGGTCCAGCCGTCACTGCACACCGTGCCCCACCTGCCGCCACGCTTCACCTCCACGCGGCCCTCGGACACTGTCCTGCCGCCAGCCAGCCGGATCTGCGGGACGCGCGGGGCCGTCAGCGCCGGGCCTGGCCCGGCCCAGCCCCACGGCGCTGGCCCTGCTGCAGGCCTTGGGCCCCAAGCTCCTGTGGGGCCACCCGCTGCCGTCCCCCTCCCTGCCCCGCACATGGGGTAGCCACAGGCACCAGCGGCACCGGCCTGGCCCGGCCACAGCCCCGCACGGCGCCCACCAGGTCCTCGTAGCCCATGTAGGGGACGTTGCAGCGCACGGCCGCGTCCTCCGAGTGCTTGCAGTCCTCCTCGGTGATGTTCTTCAAGGGGCAGCTCCAGAGCGACGTCTCGTTGCCCTCGCACTGCACCTCGCTCACGTGGATGGGCCCCGTCCCTGCGTGGAGGGCAGGCGCTGTGAGCACCGGCGCGGGCGGCCGCAGCCCCGCAGCCCCGCGGCGCCGCCCGCACCTTGGCCCATGCGCGCGCCGGTGAGTGCCTCCTTGGCGCTGCCGAAGCCCAGCTCGCGGCACACCACGCTGGCCGACTGCAGGCTCCAGCGGTCGTCGCACACGGTGCCCCACTCGCTGCCCTTGAGCACCTCGACGCGGCCCTCGCCCACCTTGGCACCGCCCTTCAGCCGGATCCGCGGCTGCGGGGGGGAAGCGGCACTGCCTGGTGACACTTGGTGACACAGAGCGGTGCAGCACGGCAGGGCACGGCACAGCATGGCATGGTACAGCATGACAGGGCACAACGCAGCACAACAGGGCACGGCACAGTATGGCACAGCATGGTGCAGTGCAGCCCAGCAGGGCACCCCTGGCACAGCACCGTGTGGTACAGGTAGCGCCGCTGCCTCCAAGGATGCCCAGGGCCAGGGCTAGCCCGAGCTGCAGGGAGCCGGCCCCCAGCCCAGCACTCACCTGGCCCTGCTGCTGCTGCCGCGGCTTCTTCTTGTGGGCGCCGGCGGCGAAGAGCGGCCCGGGCACGCAGCTGACGACGGCGGGCATGCCGGCGGCGCAGGGCGCCGAGGCGTTGCCGCGCACCAGCTCCAGCGCGCACAGCGAGAGGTGCACCTCCGTGCCCGTACACGACACCGAGTGCAGGCGGTAGTTGAGCTGCTGCCGCTCCGCCACCAGCCTGCAAAGGAGAGCGCGGGCGCTGAGGGGCCGCGGGGCAGCCGCCTTGGGGCCCGCGGCCGCCCTACTGCCCCGCCGCGCTGCCCACAGTGCCCGCAGTGCCCGCAGTGCCCGCAGTGCCCGCATGCTGTCCATGCGCCGCCCGCGCTGCTCCGGATTTGGCTCTGGCGGTGCTGAGCAGGGCTCCTGCTCAGGGCTCCACCGGGGCCATTTACCTCTGCCGGGACCCTACGTGTGCCCTGGGCCTGTGCTTGGGGCTGAACTTGGAGCCCAGCCTGGAAAACAGAGAACAGCATTCGAGCAGCCAGGGCTCTGCCTCAGAGCCACAATGTTGGGGTGCCAGGATACTGGTATGCAGGGATGCTGGGGTGCCGGGATACTGGGACAGTGGGATGCTGGGGATGCCGGGCATAGGAAGCAGAGCCTTCCGGCTTCCCCTGAAGCCTGAAGCAGGGCCGGTCGGGCCCCATGCTGCACACGCTGCAGCGGCACCATCGGCTCCTGGCGTGCGAGGACGCGGCGCAGCAGCAGTGACGCCGTTTCCAGCGTTTCCAGGACAGCCCCGCAGAGGCAGCGGCAGCTCTGGCGCCTCGTCCCGTGGCAGCGAATCTGACCCGGCAGTTTGATCCCGCCTGGCCGGGCAGCGGAGCAGGAGGCTGCAGCCTCAGCACGACAGCTTCACCTCGCATGGTGACAGGGACAGCGCCCAGAGAAGGGCCGGAACCCCGAGCTGGGGCCGGCACTACCAAGAGCTGGGGAAGGTCAAGCAGGGAGCTGCCCCTGCCTTCCTGGCCACCCATGGTCACGTCTGCCAGCGCTGCAGCCCGCGGCCGGGCCCCACAGTGGGGCAGGGTGCCGGGCACAGCATGGTGGGAACAGCTGGAGCAGGGCCCAGCAAGCACAAGGGGAGCGCCACGGTGCCAGCGCGGGGCTGGTGCAGGGCTGGCATGGGACTGGCGCAGGGCTGCGCCGCCTCCACCCGCGGAGGTTTCCCAGCCCTGGGGGAGCCCTGCCCCGGCAGGACAGGGGACCGCGCAGGGCCACAGTCCGGGACAAACTGCAGCCCCATTGGACGTGTGGCCAGGACAGCCCGGGCCGAGGGAGGCGGCGCTCGGCCCCACTGCAGAGCGCCGAGGGTGGCACGTGGCCTTGCGGGAGCCCCGCGATGGGGAGCGGAGCAGCCAAAGCAACCGCAGCGAGAGGCAGCGAGTGGGGCCAGGGCATTGCCAGCCCTGCAAGCACATGCAGGGTCCCAGGAGGATGCTGCACCCCACACAGCCCGGCACCCCGTGCCCATAGCCCCAGCGTTGGGCACTGCCAGCCCAGCCCCACGAGCAGCGGAGCAGCAGGCGCTCGCACCAGCCTCCCCACAGCCGCCCTCCCCGAGAGCTGCCGTTCCCGCGGGCAGGACGGCTCCGCGCTGCAGGGCCAGCGGCTCTGCTCCAGCCAGATCTGCGCCTGGATCCGGCACTGTGGCAGAGCCCGCTGGGCCGGACTGCCCGGTGCTGCAAACAGCTGGGCAGACGGGGTGCCCGGCCCCTTACCTGCTGCCCGCACCCAGGCGCCCGCCCTTCGTCCCAGCTGCGCGCAACAACCGCCTGCGGAGCAACACCCCGCTGGGCACCCAGGGCATGCACAGCGCGGGGCACAGCCACATCGGGCACACACAACCCTGGGAATGTGCAATGCTGGGCGCCCTGGGCATGCACAGCGTGGGGCACAGCCACACCAGGCACACGCAGCACTGGGAATGTGCAACGCTGGGAATGTGCAACGCTGGGCGCTCTGGGCATGCACAGCGCGGGGCACAGCCACACCGGACATATGCAGCACCAGGCATGTGCAATGCCAGGCACGTGCAGCACTGGGAATGTGCAGCACCAGGAATGTGCAGCACCAGGAACATACAGCACCAGATACACACAGCGCCGGCACATGTAGCACAGCATGTGTGCAGCGCTGGGCAAAAGGCTGCAGCAGTGCCTGTTCCCGCTGCCCTGGCCCCACGGGAGCAGCCCCCACCTCTCTCACTACGGTGGACGCTGCGGCTGCTTCTGCGCTCCCCTGGCTGCAGCGGGACGGCCCAGGGCCACAGGGGCCACCAGCCCCTCACATAGCCCCATGTGGTCTGGGACCCGGCGCGGAGCAGATCTCCAGCTCCGGCCGAGATGCTGGAGGGCGCAGCGGGATAGTGCCCGGCACTGCTCCCACCCCATCACGCCGCCCTCACCCGCCCAGCCCGTGCCGGCCCCGCTCACTTGTAGAAGTTCCTGTTGACTGCCTTGGCGGCAGGGAAGCCCATCATGCCGCACACCACACGGCTGTTGCTGCTGTCCCAGCCCTCGTCGCAGATCTGTGCCCAGCCGCCCTTGTAGCGCACCTCCACGATGCCCTCGGTGACGGGCAGCCGCCGGCGTGCCCCGGCGCCCACGGGCCGCAGCCGCAACTCCTCCACGTGGCTCTGCTCCGCCTGCGGGCCAGTGCCAGCGCCCACCTCGCTGCGTGGAGCCCAGGGACGGGCAGCCATGGGGCCCACATCCCCACCGGGTCAGTGCCGTCCTCACCTCGATGACGTTGGAGTCCTTGAAGCCGGGGATGCGCTCGTCCTTGCAGACGACCCCCGCGTCCTCCTCGTGGCTGCAGTCGCTGTTGCCCCAGCCCCGGTGTTTGCAGTCCCCAATGCTCTTCTCGCTCCCGCCGCAGTTGACATTGTCCAGCCAGATCCGCCCTGCACGGGGACAGCGGGGATGGGTGGGGGTGCCGACCCCCCCGGTGCAGGGCCGTGGTGCCGCAGGGGAGCGGCGCGGGGCAGCCGGCTGCGGCACGAAGCCCACACGGAGGAAGGGAATGCGCTGAGCCCCACAGCGCCTGCTCCCGCTCCCGGCTCTTACCGACGCCTTTGCCGTACTTGGCGCTGTGGGCCCAGCCGGTGGCAGCCACGAAGCCGAGGTGGCGGCAGAGCACATGTGCGTTGGCCAGCGTGAAGTCGTCGTCGCAGATGGTGCCCCACTCCTCGTTGTAGAAGACCTCGACACGGCCCTCGTTGTGCTTGCGCGGGTAGCCGGCCAGGCGGAAGCGCAGCGCGGGGCCGGGGCTGCGCGTGGGGCCACCCGGGGGGCTCTGGCCGCTGCCCACCCAGAGCCAGGCGCCCGCCAGCAGCGCCAGCAGCGGGGGTCGTGCCCAGGCGCTGCCGCTCCCCATGACAGCCGGGCCTGTGGGCGGCGGCGTCAGGGCGGCCCCACGCGCGGCCCCCGCCACCCTGCCCGGCCGTGGGGACGGGCAGTGCGGCCACCGCCCGGCCCCACACGACCCTGCAGCCACCCGGACCCTGTCGCTGCCGACGCAGGTTGGAGCTGCCGTTTGCATGTGACCCACCCAGCACCAGGGAACCCGCATCCCCCGTGGGCTCTGCTCCGCATCCCGGACCCGCTGCCCGCCCTGCACCCGCAGTGACCCATGTCCTGCCACAACCCATGTGCCACCAAGGTCCACGCGAACCACACTGCATCTGCAAGGAGGAAAGGCTCTGCGCCCCCGACCCGTTGCTTGTGGGGCTGCTGTGAAGCACCCGCAACCAGCTGCAGCCAGCGTCCCACTGCAACCCACGTGCTCCGCACTGAGGCTCCCCAGCCCACAGGCTCCGCATGCCGGACTTGCCACCAGCCTGGAGGGCAGCTCAGTGCCAGCTCCAGCCCGGGGCTGCGCGGGCACTGCCGCCGCGTTGGCAGCACAAACCAGGCCCCGCGGGCAGCACGCGACGGTGGGGCCACCACTCCGCTGAGCCCCATGATGGGCTCGTTAGAGCTGCAGGGGAGCAGGGCGAGTGCCAGGGCGGCCTCAGCGCGGGTGCCCAGTTGGCTGGCAAGGGGCTCCGGCCACAGTCGCAGCACCGGCACCAGTTAACGTGCTCCCTGCGCTGGGGAACCGCACGGGACCGCTCTGTGCGCTGGTGCCGGTGCTGCCGGCCAGGCTGGCCCGGGCACCGTGTTGGGAGCCGGGGGTGGGGGCGAACGCAGCAGCGCTGGTGCCGAGGCCGGCGAGCGCTGGCCCTGTTGCAGCGGCAGCCACAGCTCGGGGTGCACCGCAGACACCGCGAGTCTGGTTAATTGGTGCAGCGGCGCCGACATAACAGGCTGGGACAGGAGGGCACTCAATCCATCCTGTGCGACCTTTTAATGAATAATTAGCACACAACAAAACCGCACACCTCCCGCTAAGTGGATTAAAGCTGGGCACCTGCTGGAACAAAAATGCGGCTGCCGCCGGTAAGTCAGCACTGCGGAGCACTCCGGCGCGGGGCACTTGCTGCGCAGCAGCAGGGCCCCGGCTGCACGGGAACGTTCTCCCCGGGACGAAGGCGCAGAAATGGGGAGTGCATGGAATTGTGTTGGGAAGGACCTGGATATCCCGGTAAAACATCACATGGCCACATGTGTAATGAAAATGTCAGCCCTGCCGCTTGGAGGAAAGGTGCAGGAGCAGGGAGCAGAGCCGGGAGCCGCAGAAAGACTTGGGTTTATACAGTAACAAGCCGGCAGTGTGTCCCGAGGGACCTGGTGTGCCCAGGAAGGGACGAAGACACTCAGCCGTGACAGCGTGAGTGAGGGCACCAGCGGGACCGTGCCAGGCTGCAGGAAGGGAGCCGCGGAGCAGGGTGGTCGGGACGGTCCAGGCAACGACGCTGCCTCCGGATGGGCCGTCTCCGCCGGCCCCAGCGGTGCTGCGGGTGCAGCGGGTGCGCGGCACTCACGGGTGCCCCGCCGCGATGGTGCCGCCCAGCACGGGGCACACGGCCGCTCCTCACCTCGGAGGCGCCCACACGCACCGAGCTCTGGCCCGACCGCACCAAACAGGGCTCCCATTGTCCCCATCACTTTTTCCAGTTCCTATGTGCAAGCCGTGACACCGGCCAGCGCCGCTGCTCTGCCACGAGCTTTGGCACCGGTGCCGCACGCCACTCCTGGCGCATGGACCCGGTCCCCGGCCACTACCCCCCTGTCCTCACCCCACTGTGCCCCTCGTCACCCCTGCCCCAGGTTGGTGCTCAGCCCCTTCCCTGCACTGCGTCTCCAGGCAGCAGCAGCCGCAGCGCCACCGGACGGAGCAGGATTCCCCTCCACTTCCCGCCTCCGGCCGAGGCGGACGCAGCGCTCTGCCAGCCTCCTCAGGACGGGCAGCTCTGGACAAGGGAATGAGTGCCCTGAGCCAGCGCCGGCGGGAGCCGCAAGAGCAGCCGGGTCCTCGCGACGGCTCAGGAAACCTCAGGAATGTCCCGGAGGCTGGAGTGCTGGGCGGCGAGTGGGGCCCCCGGCAGTGCTGCGAGCTGAGCCTGGGCACTGATGCGAGCTGAGTGCCCAGCACCATGTCCTGCCCATAAAGCCAGTGTGGGGGGGACCCAGTCAGGCTGTCCTGACACCCCATGAGGCTGAAGTGGCCCTGCACTGTGGGTGCATCAGAAGCCCTGATCAGGAGCCCTGTCCTGCCCTGCTCCACGGGACCTGCTCCTGCACCGCTCTCCCTTCCCTGGCTGTCCACAGGGCTCCTGCTCCTCCTACACTGAGTCCCCTCAGTCCTCCCACATTTGCTGAGGGCACCAGCACAGGACAAGCAGGAGGATGGAGCTGGAGAGCTGCTGCCACGGCCACAGAGCCCTGGGTCTGAGGCTGGGACCTACCCAGGGCTGTTCCAGCCTGATGCACCCGCCAGGACATCCAGCCCCATCAGGGAAACTCTGGAGAACAGGCGGAGCTGGGGCAGGGACAGCTCTGCAGATGAGCCAGATCCCTGGCGAGCCGCCAGGTCTGGATTGAGTGAGTTGCTGCCATCAGGCACAGGTCGTCCCTGTGGCTGGGACGATATCCTAGAAAGCAGCATCTAGAGGGCCAGGTCAGAGTGCCACTGTGGGAGCTGCTGAGCAGCGCTGTGCAGGATGCCCCAGGACATGCAGGGGCACTCGCACAGGGCCACAGAGCAAAGTGGACACCAACAGGCTGGGAGGGCTCGGCGGAGAGCAGCACAAATGACCAAAAAGCTGGAAAACGGCCAGCACACAGAGGAAGCAGCTCCCTCTGTTTATCCTCTCTGGGGAAGGCTGCAAGGCCACACGGTCACAGCGGCCGGGTCCGCGCGGGCAGCATCTCGGAAAGCAGGGCCACAATGTGGCCACGGGCAGGAGCTCCAGTGGTCCCAGGGCTCCCCTCCCTCCCGGCTCCCTCCCGGCTCCGTCCCAGCTCCGTCCCGGCTCCTTGGCGCAGACTGCAGCCCACGCCAGCCCTTTCGCAATCCTGCTGCAGGATGGGCCCCATCCCTCTCTCGCTTCCCAGCAGGCGCCGGCCGGATGGAGAGCAGAGCAACAGGAGCTGAGGGGCCCGAGCCCTGCGCCTTGCTGGGGGCCGGCCGGCTCCCTCCCGGGAAGCACAGGGAGCCCCAGGGCTCCTTGGGCTCCAGAAGGGCAGTCCCGGGGAGCCCACAGCAGCAAGGAGAGACAGCAGATGCTGCAGCCCAGCAGTGAGGGGCCGCAGCCTGGGGTACCCGCTGGGGAGGGGCTGCTGGCAAGTCCAGCTGGGCTCTGCCCACAGCTCCGCAGAGCAACCAGGGACACACAGGGCCCCCCCTTCATCCCTTCGCCCTCCCTCTCTCTCCGGAGCCGCAGCAAATTCCATCTCCAGTGGAAACCCTGAGTCTCCACCGTCCTCTGCAAACCACAGCTTGGCAAACAACTTTGCGGAGCCAGGCCCTGCCCCGCACACCCAGGGCTGCCATGGGGCCACACAGGCCCCCACAGCCCCCACGAGGCCCCGGCAGCCCTTCCCGGGCATTGCCCGGGCCGCGCTCCGGCAGCTCTCCGCGAGCCCCGCGCTCCGGAGCCACGCGGCACGGGTCCCGTTACACAGGCACTCTGTCCGCCGCGTGCCCGCGGCACGCACAAAGGCAGCTTTCTGCAGCACTCACGGGTACTGCACAGCGCAGCCCATCCTGCCAGCGCCCCACGGGCAGGGTCCGGCCGTGCTGGCAGCCCACGGTTCTGCACAGTGAAGTGGCTCAGCCCTCAGTCACTCAACATTCCCACTGCACAGCCCCATGTAACCCCCGCTCACGCCACAGCTGCAGGAACCACTAAATCGCTCCCCTTTGGACACCACCTTCATCTGCAGAACACCCTGCACTGTCCAAACAGCTTGAGCCGTGACCGCAGCCCGTTTCACACCCCAGCACAGGCTCTCCCTGTGAGCTGTGAACTACCTTCATCGCACAGCTCTGCTGCCACGCTTGGGACCGCGCAGCGCTGCACAGAGCCGGCTCCTGCGGCACTTTGGGGCACTCCCCCTGCAAAGCAGCGTGCCCCAAAGCACCGCGCGGCCCCTGCCACACAAATACCCCGGGCCTGCTCTGCATGTAGCCCCAGGACATGCAGCCCTGCGCGCAGCCCCGCGCTCGAGGATGCCGCAGGGCCCCCGTTGCCCCCGTGCTCGCATCCCTTTCCAGGGTCACGCCAGCCCCGCGCCCCGGCCCTGACACGGCGGAGAAGGGCTCAGTGCTCAGCGCGGCCCGGCCCGCCCGCCCGCGGTGCCGCTCGCGCTCCCCGCCGCCCCGGGCCGGTCCCGCCCGCCGCGGTACCTCTCGTCCGAGGTGTGCGGGGCTCCCGCTGCTGCGGCGGTTCCGGCGGCGCCGAGCGAGCGCGTCCAGGCGAGTG